TCGTTTCCACCCTGATGAAGATGCGTGTCTAACAGAGCAATTCTGGCACCAGGGCCCTTCAGTGGTTGGTTACCTTTGTTCCTTTTTTCCCTTTTTTCTTTTCCTCCCCTCACAGGCCTGTTATAATGGTCCTTAGTGTACTTGCTGGAAAAGGTTTTTCCTATGTTGAGGGTTGTTCCAGCCTGTAAGGACAGAAAGGAAGATACAGAGCTTTACCACGCTCTGTGGTGAACACTTCAAGAGTAATCTAAAAGGTCAGAAAGACTTGATTGTGATGAAGTGAACGTCTTCGGCAGATTTTACTATAGTGACTTGGCATACCTTTGTAAAAACGTGCTCACTTTAATTCTGTGGTGTTTTGCGAGACAGGAAAAAGAGGATTAGAACAGAAGATGCCTTGCATCCTAGCAAACTAGGACTTGGGATAGTACAAAAGACAAGTGTTTGGTGTCCAAAGACAAATGTTTAAGAATATGTTTCTTTAAGGGACAGGATTGCTTTAGTTTTATCCTGTGGTTATCAAAAGTTCTAAAGACTTTTAACTTTATTTGAAGTGTGTTTGTCTTGATGAAGGAAACATGATATGAAAAGAGAATTACTGGAAATTGGGGGAATACATGAAGTACTGAAGGATTGCCTTCACGCTTTTTCTTTTCTAAGCAAAGATACAACTGGTCAATACTGGAGCTTGTTGATTGGACTGATTATGACTGTTCTTAAACGCTTATACGTGATCATAGTCTAATAAACTGTATGAGCATTGCAATGTGTGCTGACCCCTACCACTGATTCATATCTAATGTGGTGCTACTGTTGTCTCCAAACTCTGCAGTTGTCATTGAAATGCTTAAATGCTTGTCCTAGATGCATCACTTCTGAATGTACAAATAATACATTGGTATGAGAAAATACTGAATTAGTTTTTCCTGAAGTAAAACTGTCCTTTTTAGTTAAATGTTTGATACCAATGAAGTGTGTATCCACACTATAAAATGTTTTTCTATGCTACTGTTTCTGTTTCAGAATGTAAAATAACAGCATCATACTATTTATGTTTTTTTTCTGTGAAGAGAAGAGGTATTTATATGAGAAAGTAGCATATAAAAAAAGGTACTGGGAGCAGGTAGTTTGACTTTGCCCTCTGTCCCCCTGCCCGTGGAAGATGTCTGCTGATGTGTAATGTTGATTGTATAAATGAATTAATGATGAAAAAGCTGCAAAGATACTTAGGAAAAGGTGCTTTTTATACTGAAAAGCCAACAGTATGTTTATAGTGTTTGCATGTAGGAGGGGAAGAAAAAATACTGAGCCAAATACTGAAAGCCTAGTAGTTGTGCTGAATAAAACAAGAAGGAATGACCGAAGATTGTGTGAGAGATTTAAAGAACTTAAACTAGCGTGCTCATGAAAGAGAACGGAGGCAAATGTGTGCTGTGTCTGGATATATTTGGTCCCTCTTCATATTTATGTCTGTATCACTTTTGGGGAGTTTACAATGCTTTCTTACCACGGATGACTGGGGCAACTACTGAAAATGATATTCCAGCTCCTCTTGTGCAGGCTCTAGTGTTTGTGCTTGCTCATGATCAGCTAAATTAAAAAGCTGATTTGGCTGCAAGCTAACTGTGTTCCATGTTAAGTTTTCAATTGGATGGTCTGCACAGCTGTAGGAGCACAAATGAAAGCTTGAGGAGACTTGGTGTGGCAGATTGTGCACTCCCGTCATGATGCTGCATTGTCAGTGTTTTCGAGTACATGATTTTGAGGATCCTGAGGGATTGCTGCTGCCAAAACAAGATGATCCAACTTTCCTTTCAGTGCCCCTTTTGTTTCTGCGTCTTGGGTGACAGTCTTTGCTGTTTGACCTCAAGAGGGGCTCATTTAACCCACAAATCTTGAAAAAAAACTCGTTCAGAAAAGAAAAAAAGAACTAGATTTTCTCCCAGGCTGGTGGGTTGAATCTGCTTGCTGTACAACCAGTGGGTTGAATCTGCTCGCTGTCCCAGCGCAGCCCTGATGGACGTCTCGGGATTGTCTCTTCCCACGGCAGCAAACTAGCTGATTGTCTTGGTTGTCGTATCTTAGCCCTTTAAAGTGCTTCTGTGGCTCTGCTGAATTCAAAGCCTAAAAAGCTTGAGCTGTAGAATGTACACTTTATTCCTTTATTTCTTCCCGTGTGCTTTTGCTTTTTCTTAATGTGAATGGAATATGGCAGAATGCTAGCTGTCTCCTGAAATATTTCACGTGTTACTACCAATAGGCGTTTCAACGAATGTGCTGTGGAAAAGACACTAGAAAACCTGAAGAGAAGCAGTGCTATACTAGTGTCAAGTCTGTTATGATAAATTTCTATTACAACAGAAATTTAAGCTAATGTATATAGATTTCATCCAATATGTGATATTACAGTTATACAGGTTTATGATGACTGAAGAGAGAATTCATTTATTTGCAGGCATGGTGCACCACTCTTGTTCTATCCCACGCCCAGGGTACGTCCTCCCTATATGACTGAGTCTTTGTAACTTCAACCAGAACTGAGCCTGAGCAATGCCACTGTTGGTCAAAAAAAGTGCAAGTTAATTTGCTAAGCAATACGAGTGTTAAGTACTCCGACCAATAAAAAGATGTCATAGATAACAACTTCACATTTTTGATGGTTGAATAGGTGGGATACTTGGCTCTAGCTGAAATCAGTATTTCTTTCTTGTCAATATGTGTGCTGGTGGGAATTAGTCTGATTGAAACAGAGTGCAATTCTAAACTTTTGTTTTTCTGCCTTCAGACACCTTTCAAGAAAATAATTTAACGTGGTATTTTATTTTGTGGTAACTTATTTTCTTTTCCTTGAGCTATTTGTTTATTGCTTATTAAAAGGCAATCTATTTAAAAACCTGAAAAGCGCTCCATCTTCATCAGTAAAGCTTTCTCCCATAACTCTCTGCCAGCATCATTAAGCTCCATTAAAATCATTCTAGTTAGAATGAAGTCTTCAGAACAACTGAAAATGGTTGCAGAAGAGATTTTGATTAGTGCACGATATAGTGTGCGAATGTGTCTGTAAACCATTCTGTTCTATTCTGTTTGAAAAGCATGTTTTTTATTGTGGTTGATGTCCTTTCACAGGTTCATGTGTAGCTGTTGGGGAAAATGCTTGTGCTGTTAAACAAAAGCCTACGTCAGGACTGTTCCTTGAAGGGTAATAAATTATATCCACAAGCACCAGGCAAATTGCCTGCTAGATTACCTTGTGTCTGTGCTAATCCCTGATGATGCAGACAGTAAGAGCCCACTGATTGTGCCTGGGCTGATTGCAGCTGAGCAAGAAATTGCTGTGCTACTGCTTCTGTTGACTTATGCTTGGTTCTCCCTCCCAAACACACACGGGCTTCTTGTACCAACTTGGAAGCAGCTAGAGCTAAAACTGGTGCATTAGTGCTCAGTATTCTTCAGTGCAAGACATCGAAACACCTCCGACGGGAATCTGTGAAGCTGTAGTTGAACCAGGCTGTTGTATGTTACTGTGGATACTGGCAAACAGCATATCCTATTTTGAGCTGAGGCCATCTAATTCATAATTATTTTTAAAAGTTGTTTTTATTACATATCTTCTCCAGCAGTTGTTCTTGGGCTGAAACTGCTTTTCTACCAAGTTAGTTCTCCCTTTTGTGTGCTGTGACCGCTTTCATGTGCTGTGAACACTGAATGCTTTGTTCCTTTCATTCTCTTACCAAAGTACAGGCTGTTTTCCTGAACAACTTTTTTCCTTTTTTATAGTTCAAAAGGATATGCTTTAAGCCTTACAAATTCGTAGTGCTGGGGAGCTTACCTGTATGAGCATTTGAAGTTGTGCAGTGGGAACCGTATATTGGTTCAGTAATGTGAAATATTTAGAGAAACTTGTTCCAATCTAAACACCAGTGGGGCTGCTGCTTATTATGCTGTGCTTCCAGCAGTCTTGTGGGTCTCTAAACGCATACCAAGGTGTGGGAAGAATTGTTGGATGTTCTTTTGTTTTGCGCAAATAGGCTGAACATGATCTGGGGAAAACAAACATATTGTCAGGCTCTGCAAAAGAGCAAGATGGCATCAGAAGAGTATTTGATTTTCAGATTTAGCTGCTGGATACTCCTATTAAGCCTCGTTAGACTGTTTGATCTACAGGAGTTTGCACAATTAGTTCGGTGTGGTGCATGCCTGCCTACCTGCTCAGTCTGTATACAGCTGTGTATTTGTTTATTTTTAATAAGGATAATTTCACTTTCAAAGTATCCTTAAGGCTTTTACACATTTTAGAGCTTTTTAGCAGAACAATTAAAGTTTTTAAGACTTGTGTCCCAAGAATAACCTTGTCTCTCTAACTTCTGCTTTCTTGAATAGCTTCCTTGCATTTCAAGGGTTAGTTCCTAGTAATCAGTTGTCATCTGCTTGAGCTCGTTCCTAAGAAGTTGTAAAATATACTCCATTTCTCTATATGATTTAGCTGTTCCCACTGGCTCAAGGCTGACCCCTGAGGTCAGCTATTGTGCAAGTACGCCAGTGACTCCTCCAGCAAACTAATGAAAGCATATAGAATAAAAATAACGAAGAATTGCTGATGAACCATAACACTGGTGAAGACTGAAGAAGACTGAAGACTGAAGGGGTGGGTGTCAGGAGGATGGGGCCAAGCTCTTTTCAGTGGTGCCCAGTGACAGGACAAGGGGCAATGGGCACAAACTGAGGCACAGGAAGTTCCGTCTGAACATGAGGAAGAACTTCTTCCCTCTGAGGGTGACGGAGCACTGGAACAGGCTGCCCAGGGAGGCTGTGGAGTCTCCTTCTCTGGAGATATTCAAGACCCGCCTGGACAAGGTCCTGTGCAGCCTGCTGTAGGTGACCCTGCTTCGGCAGGAGGGTTGGACTAGATGACCCACAGAGGTCCCTTCCAACCCCTACTATTCTGTGATTCTGTGATTCTGTGAAGTCTGTGTAATCGTGAACGCTTGATATTTTGGTAGGTCAGACGAGTACCAGGTTCCAGTGGTCACCTCCATAAAACAGAAGATGGGGACTGGGAATGGAGCGATGATGAAATGGATGAGAAGAGCGAAGAAGGCAAAGCTGCTGTTTCTCAGGAAAAGGTAAGTTTTGTTTGTGCAAGATATTTACAATCTGCAAGATACTCTGTCTTAATGTCAATTGTTAGTATTTCTGGATCTTCAGTGTGTAAAACTGAATAGCTCATATCTCACTGCATTTGTTTTCCAGTCACGAAGAGTGAAAGAGGTGGAGAACACAGAGGTAAAAATTTTTTTTTTTTCTTCCAAGTGTTTGAGTGAAGGGATTTCTTTTTCATTTTTGTTGTTAAAAATGCGAATTGAGGTGGGAATGTTGTTCTGGAGCCTTGTATGGCAAGTACTTGTGAGGATCAATCTGAATGCAGCGGGGCCTGTAACAATCAAGTTAAGCAACTTAAACTGCATAAAATGTATAGAAACTTTAAAGCCATGTTATGTTCATGCGCAGGAGAATTAAGATAGATGACTTGGCTGTTTTTGATGAAACTCCATAGCTGGATCACCCTAATTGCTGTCTTTTTATTAAGGCAGCGATGGCTGTTTCAGAGTAGCAAGAAGATCTCCAAATAATTTTTCATTCTTAGGATTTGTGTCACGACATGTAGCTTGTAATTAAAATGTTTCATCCTATATACAGTAAAATAGTTCAGTACTGTGACATAGTAGATTAATTCAGAGGAATAAAATACCAGATGGAGTTTCATGGCCCTGTGCTGAGAATGTGGGAAGCATCACTGCTATAAATAATTGCTTAATAGAATTACTGGCTTACAGCCAAAGTGCTCTTTTAAAAATGTTTGTTCCTTGGGTGAGTGACACTTGCCACTTCACCTGCAATTTTAGATTCTCTGATTTTCATTGGTGTCATTCAAATCTTTGAAAAGACTCGCAGCTTCCTGCCAGGCTTGGTCCTGTTAGCTCCTGTGATGACACCAGTCTTTCCGTTGCAGAGCTACTTTACGTAGCGCTTCACCATCTGAGATGTTTTATGTAAGCTGAGTACACGGGGAAAAAAAATGGGCTTTCACCACACAGTCTTTTTATGTCTTAGAAATTGAGAGTTCTGGAGTTTGCGACTCAGTTTATGCAGGTAACTCTTTTATTATGAGTTATTTAGTTTATGAAGGAGAAAAAAGCCTCTGGTTGAAGTCTTCTGTTGATTTTTGTTTTCCTAAAGTGTTCCAGAAGATGACTTGGAACTGGGACTAATGCAGCTTGTCACGGTTGTTGTGTGCCTGTTGGTCTTGGGCTGCATGTTCCTCTACACTGAAGTAACAGGTCTCTTGAAGATGCAGAAATAGTACTAGTAGTTTATAGGCATGGAAGGAACTTAATTGAAGTAGAAAAAAATCTACTCCCCCTTTAGTGATTAAATAATTTTCCAAATATTCATTAACTTTTGTTTAAAATACACAGATAATAAAATACAGATGTTGTGTAACACTTTTTTAAAAATAGCTTTGATGTGAAAAACTGTTGGAAAACAATCATATGAGGCTTGTGATGCAAGTCTTTATTTTGGGAGGTCTTGACTGTAACCTTTGAACTGGCTTCTCTGGGTGGTGACAATATGCCAGCTTCGGTATGAAATCATAGTAGGATAGAGGACTGGGCGGTACTCTGTATGTAGGATACACTGTTGCTTGAGACTTCATAGAATTCTTAGTTGAGGGCTGGGGAAGGTGTCACAGTGTGAGGGAGGAGTGATAGTGTGAAAGATATCTCTATTCCTGTGAAAGACACTCTCCGAGCTGTGATGCCCACTTTGATATGCTACTAGTTCTTTGCAGATGGGTAGATGCAAGACTTCCCTAACAACCAAAACTGTTACACAAAAATAATGTGAGTAGTAGCTTGCGATTCTCACTGTATGTGTATTATTTAATAGGTTATTGGAGCTTTGATGCAGGGTGGATTAAAAGCTCTTACACTCAGTGCTTTAATGTGTGCCTTATCATTTGTACCTAATTGAAATATGGCAGTTCTACTGGTATCAGCTAGCTTTTAGACTGTGTTACTGAAAATGTTTAAAAGGTTTTTGAGAGTTAGAGGATGTGTAAAGTATTCTGTGCTAGCTTCAAACTGTTAGCATGGCAAGTATGTCGGGATATATTTTTTTTCTTTTGGCATCCATTATAAGACTTTTTGCTTTTTTCTTTAATAGTCTCAGCCTGCTGTTAGTGACGAATATAGTGAAGTTCCTTGTGCAGTGAATCTTGTCTTAAGGTTGAGGTAAGAGATTCTTTTATTTATTTTAGCATTCCTTTTTATGTGGCTTTATTATTCTTGATCTCCCTCATTACTTTCATAATATTAACATAAAATAAGTGTTAACCTCTTTAATCTCCCAGTATGACCAGTATGAATAGTGTTTCTGTGACTAATTGCTGTCTTTTAATTGCTTACTGAAATAGTGTAAAATGAAAAGCAGAATATGAATGTGGCTTCAGGCTAAGTATACCCTTCATTAAGTATTTTCTTTCTTTTTTTCCTTGCAGTGCAGGATCACAGTGAGAGATTTTTAATGAGTTTTTTTCACACTTCAGCAGTCAGCCTCTGACAGAAATAAACCATAGCTGTATTACAAGTTGCCTACTCAAAACATTTTTCACTGGCAAGTTTGATCAGCCACTGTGGAGAAGTGACAGCTATTTTAGAAAATGGGTACAAATATGTTGTCTGACTTGAATTTATACATAGTTAAAATGAGTCAGATTACCTTTAATTAAAATCAGTTTATAATCAAGATTTTAGTTGTTTAATTATGCAGTCTAGTTCTTGGATAAAAGTGTTTTTTCATAGGAAGCTTTGATAACTTTTTATGTGTTTACAGCCATTTTACTTAAATGGCTATCTTAGTTAAAAATCTTACTGCCACTCACTTTAAAAATTGTTTGTGTCCTGTTTGTATTGACAGGATATCTCTGAGAGGTTGTAAACTCATTGTTATTGCTGTGGGGAAGAGTTAAATGTTATGTGTTTTTTATGCCAAGAAAAAGATAAAAAGTCAAATAAATATTTACAAAATTACAACCAGTATGTTAGAAACAAATAGCAGATTTATGCATATGAAATAGCTTTAAAACAGTAACATTAAAACCTGTTAGTGATCAGAAAAAAAAAACCCATCTACACTGAACGAGTGTGAAGTTCCAAAATATATTATCTTCCCTTTTCTTTGACTACTTTTCTGGTGACAGCTGCAGAAAATTGCGTGACTGCCAAAGGTTGTTTACTGAAGGGAGGAGTAATAAATTGTATTGTAGGGAGAGAAAAGACTTAGAGATTATTTGGAATCGGTTTAGTTGTCCAATTTACATAACTGCTCAGTTATGCTATCAATATTCTTTTTCATCTCTCTGCTGACAAACAGGTAGATGAAACCATTTACAAAACAGACCAATTTATACTGCTATGTGGATGTACTAGTGAGGTGCTGTGGGTATTTTTAAATTACAATGAAACCTACAGAGTGATTAGCTTCTACCCAGTTACTTGCAGTGTTGGCATATCCACAGGGCAAACATTCTAGTCCTGCAAGTACAGTGAAATGTCAGGGATTATGCTTTCAGTTTTCTGCAGCTCTTAAGCCAGAATTGCTCCTAGGAGACCTGAGTTTCCAAACTCTTATTTGCACGATGAACTTCTGTTCTTGTTAAGAATCCTCTTAATTGATAGGGGAGAAAATTCGCTCCCACTACCCTCCCTAACAGCAAGTAACTAGATTAATGTGTTACAATTATGAAGGTTTAGATGGTTATTGGTAGAGAGGGAAGAAACATGAATTTCAATTTTAGGAACCTCAAAGTTTCCTTTAAAAAAAGCAAAATAGTCTTTAATGGCAGATACACTCTGGGGCCTGGGAATATTGTTGGCAGTGTCTTGGAAAAAACAAAAATCTGATGCATAATGTTGCAGAGTGAATCTTGTTAATTTACGATGACCTATTTTGAGGGAAGACCGCTCTGTGGTGCGAACTCCTGGCCACAAGTGAGCTCTGGCTGTGTCTGGCCTCAGTGCTAGGAGGTGGGCTGAGTTCTGCATCTTTTACTGTGTGTCTGGGATTCTTCTGATGGAAACCCGAGCATGTGAGTAGCTTCAGAACTAGTACGTAATCAACATGTGTGTGGATAGTTGGGGGGAATATAGGACAGCGGAATATACCAAGCAACACTGTTTTCCTTTAGTTGGGACTTTGCAAAGTGCAAATCTGAGAACAAGGGCTACAAGCTCCACATACCTTTGCGCAGTGGTGTTGATTCAGAGTTAGTACTTAAGCATTTCTTTATATTTACATCTTTAAAGGCAAGAGTTCCCTTGTTTATGGAACATTCACGGAAGTTCAGGGCAGCCACTGGCTGGCTGCTGTATATGTTGTGTTTAGCAGCGGATCTGTGATGGCATTTGAATAGCTGTCCTTCCTCCCCACTGTTGACACCAGGAGGGGAACAGCTGAGGCTGCTATGAGCATGGCAGGGCTGTGCAGTCTGCTGAAGACATGTCAAGAATTACGTTCAGATGTCTTGTTCTTCAGTAAATGACCAGAAATCTTAGTTGGGGAAAGGAGCTGATGATTATTGGTTAACTCTTAACAAAATGATTAACGTTTCTTCCATTACTGGATTACCTGTGGGGAGTTACCTCAGCTCATTCACCTGTCAGTGTCAAGTGTCTGTTGGTATATTCTGTTAAAAGCTTTTCATCTTTGACCTTACTTTAGGCACATTAATAGTGGCCCTGGCCTGGCAGTGAGTAGTTGCACCCAAGAGTAGAGGGCCTCCTGGGTTCTGCATTTTTGGGTCTAGGTCTGGCTGCAGTGAGCAAATTCAGAAAAGCCATCTCTGGAGAAATAGCGGCTGTGGTAACAGTATAGTGCTTCTTTATGGGCGTAGGAGTAGGAGTCTTCCTCCTTAGCCCCAAAGAATCTTGATGCTTGGACCTTACCACTCTGCTAAATAAGGGGCAGAATAGGTTTGAGGCTGGCATTGAAGTAAAGTGCGAACAAGCTTATACCACCCCAGGTAATGTAAGTGACAAGCTACAGAGATGCTGTTTTGGGAAGACAGTAGTGTTCAGAATATTGAAGTGTTAGTGGTTGAACTATTGCTGTAATCTATTTTGTACTAGTTCGACTGTTTTTTCTGTTTTGTTAGGAGAAGGGAAGTTGTATGGGGTTCCTTCATAGAAGTCTAAAGAACAAATTTCCTCTATCATAGGATGTAAACCTGGAGGCCCTCAGTCACTCATGGTCGGTCTTGGGTTACAGAGGAAGCCCACCTCTGCATTCCAGCTGTCCTTATGCTGGGATCATTGCAGGGTGAATGAGCTTACATTTAGGGCAGCTGTGTAGGGAGAAGGATGCTCTGGCCCCTAACTGCTTTGTTGTAATTAACTTACCAAGTAAACATTTTTTGAGCATCTGAAAGTAAAAATACTGCTAGATTTGGCATTTGTAGTGAATAAAAGTGGTGTCGATGACTTGCTTTGTGTCACGCAGCATTCCCTTGGGATTGTAAGGTAGTAAACAGCTAATATCCTCGCAGAGGTTTCTGCATTTATCCACCTCCATTGCAGATTTTAAAATATTCTGTTGATGTCTTTTGGTAAATTGATCATTAAGTCATATAGCTGATAGAGATTTGAGCACATCAGAGTATTTTTATGGGAGTTGTTAAAATGAGCCATAAGTTGTGAACCATATTATTATGCAGCAAGTTAGCTACAGTATGAGGATAGAAACAATTTCCTGTGATGCTTCATCTACTACTATTATATAGCTTTTAAAGTATGGCTTGATATCCAGATAAAGATTGCGAACATTAGATGCCATACTTGAAGACTCAAAGCTCAGTATATCATCGAACCTTTTTCTTTTAAAATATTTCACTTGGGGCAATCAAATTATATAAACTGAAGTATCTTGATGAGTTCAGAGCACGATGGTTTTAGATGCTGAGAGTTACTGTTTAAAAAAAAACCCTTCAGTACGGATGTGGGTAAAAATGTAAATACCAGCAAAATATAAGAGGAATGAATTGACTGATGGGGAGGATGAGAGGGGAAGGAAGGTAAACTCATCAAGAGAAGGCTCAGGAAGGTCTCATCTCTTCATTGCTTTCCTTTTGCTTCTGCAGAGAGGGGCTGTGGAGTAAGGTGACAGCAAAAGGTGAGCGTTTCAGATGGTAAGGAGCCCTTCCTGTGTGATGGAGGCTGGCTGGGCTTGGACCTGAGGGGAGAAGGTGTTTCCCCGGGGTCCTCAGGCAAGAAGAGGTAGTGAAGAGAAAACTCTGATGGTACTTGTGGTACTACTGAGTCTTTGGCTGGGGAACGACTTTGGCTGCAGAGAGTTAGTCATGGAAGTTGAGCCTGAAGGGTGGAAACAACTTCATATGAGGTTTGGGAGTGTGGGCCAAAAGGTTTGATGAGTAGAGCCTGGAGATTTGGGACCAGGGCAAAGCCTAGGGAGATGAGCAACCTTCAACAAGAGAGAGAAAACAACAACAACAAAGTAAATACTACTCTAGCTTGGGGGTTTCTTTTCCTTTTTTACAATGAGGCTATGCTACACCAAACCCCATCAAATTTTAGATTAGAGTTTTGCATTTTTTTCCTAGTAGTATGTTCCAAAAAAGCTTAATAGTACCCATAAAAATTAAAAATCACCTTCCCAAAGGACGAATTCTGGCAGAAGCATGAATGCATTTCAGTGATATATATATATATATATTTTTTTTTTTTTTTACTGGATGGGGTGGGTTTGTTATTTCTCCCAAGCAGAGCAGGGTTGGACTCATTCAGTAATTGAGTAGGGAATGCCAAATTAACACCAGCCTCTGTTTAGTCCAAATGCTTTGTTGTGGATGAGAGGCACAACTCACATTCTGAAACAATCTTTAAAGAATCCCATGGCACTCTTTATACAAGTGTTGGTATTTAACTTTGTTAGTCTGAATGGTTTCCAACTTGAGTGTCTGATTTTTCTGTCCTTAACTTGTATTTAATATGTTTTTGTTTTAGTAGTTTTCTCAGTGGGACTAACTTGTAAAAATATTCTCTACTGTCAGAGTTGCGTCTTCAGTTGGAGACAGCAATTCCCAATTTATTTTCTGTCTTTTGCACCGTTGTGTCTTGGAGTATGTTGCCCCAGAAGTGAAGTTAGCAACAGTGTGTTTTAGATAATTCCATGCAAAGCTTTATAAAGGCTCTAGTATTAAATACTTAATACAGACCAT